GGGAGATTAATTGTTCGCGTAGTTTCTTCGCTCTTTGCTTTCACGTTTTTCACCCCCGCAATATTTACGGGGATAACATTTCGTGCGTGTAATTTTTTTTTTTTTTTTTCGAAAGAGGGCTCGTGTGCTCGGATGATTAAACGAAGCTGGATGTCGGTTTCAGCTGCAGAGGAGGGTTATTCGAGGAATTAATCCACACGACGAACAAATGAAGCAATCAGTTGCGAGATCTCGAGGATATTACGCAACGATTATTACGTGAGGCACGTCAATTTGCTTCGTAGATGGGAATCCAAGGGTGTTTTGGATTTGCCGTACTTTGGCGCAATGTTCATTATCCCCATATTGGGTTTACCAAAGTAGGGGGAAATTGATGAAGATGAAGCGAAAAAAGAGTGCGTGCGTCGGCTAAAACGTATTTCGGTATTTTTTCCATGCAGGATATTAAAATTAAAATGACGTTGAAGCGCAGTACGGGCTGGAAAGGTGATTAAAAGAGCTTCAAAGACATGCGGGCCGGCAAGTGCCCATAAAGTCTCGAGTTTATTTTTCATTTGGGGCCAAAAAAAGGGCAAGGATCGCGTTTATGTTTCATGAAAAATCTCGAAAAAAAGCTCAATATTAATCTTGATTTTTTTTTTCCTCCCCCATTCAACTTTCACAGACGACATTAAAATGCCGAGCAAAACTGGTGACATGACGAGCTTACGCGCGGAAATTGAAAAAGAGAACAAAAGCCACTAATGGCGCGGGATGCGAAAGCCCCCTTAAATAGATTACGGGGAGCATCGTGCGAGCTGAAAAAGCTCTCGAGGGCGGATTATGACGCGTTATGGCGTGGATTTCCCATTACATCAATGCGCGACGCCCCGTATCTTCACAAAATACCATCTCCGACGGATGTTTCCACTGAATGAAAGGAAAAACCTAACTGGACAAATATTTCGTTACTATCGAGCAAAAGAAAAAAAGCTCCCAAATATCCCAGTAATGCGGAACAATCCATCCCTCGCGTCCATCCATCACGGGCCATGTAAATAAATCTTTCGATATTATCAAAGAGAGCTGATAAAAAAACGTGCGACTGCAGGCGAAAAACAAGTGCAACGGGGGAGCTTTAGGCATTCCAGCCACAGGCAATGTTCATCCCCCAGACGGGTGGGCGATACTCCTCCCGCTGCTCTCACTTTACGATCCGCCAGTCCGTTAGCTCCTCCTTTTTTTTAAACTTTATTTGCTACTGGGGCTTTTATCCCCCCCCCACTACCCCCTTTGGACGCTTATCACGGCGGGGGAAGGGGGCGATCGGTCGTAGGTAAGCTTTTTATCTGCCCGTGTCGCGGAGAAAGAGCAGCGCGAGGGCTTCCGGAGTTCGAGTTGTGCGGAAGCACGTAGCGAATATAATAACCGGCCAACCCCACACACCCACCCTCTCTGGGGGTCGCATGCACTGCCAAGCTACCCCGACAAACAGAGGATGCGCGTGCATGAAAAAATCGGGGATAGAGCCGAGGATTTGAAGTAGAAAGTAAAAGTTACTGCGATGTCTGACCATACTCGGGTTACTCTACTTAATACGATGACAGTGGTTCTTTTTTGCTCGAGTCCTCATTTTTGCGGTGATGTCGGGTAGTTGATTGAAAAATAGAGCTTGGTAAGAAATACATTTTGGGACGAAAACAGTTTACATAAATATACGTAAGAAATGAGAACGAGCCGGAAGGTGTAGGAAGGGGCAAAACGAGAATCATGGGAGAGGAGCAGTGGGAGGGAATTCTGAATAATTCGGCGCTCGCCCGGGGGGTAAATTATATGTTTTGCGAGGAGGGAGTAGTTCGTTTGCAGCGGTGCCGACAACGCCGGAGAGGCCACGATGTCCGGCTGCAATATAATGGCCACCCCCGTGCAGCTTTCCCCGGAGCAGAATCCTATTTTGCGTAAATCTGCATTCGACCTCCGCTTATTCCGCGTCTATCTCCTCTTTCTCCTTTTTTTTTTTTTTTTTTTTTTTTTTTTCATCATCCTCTCCCGTTCGGTCGCGGTGCGGCCTGGGGAATTCCTGCAGCTTGAAATATATTTATCGCCTCGAGAACGCGCCGGCCCCGGGCGTATGCAAATCTTGACTTTTGCTCCCACGCTTTTTTTTTTTTTTATCACTTTCGACGTCCCCTCGTTTTTTCTCTCTTTCGCTTTCGATATCACGCAGTGGTATTGTTAGCATTTGCAGTAAGCGGTGTTGCGAGCGACCGAGATCAGGGGAAGGGGGGGGGGGGGAAAAAAAATGTCCGGAGCCGATAAATAGAGAGAGATCAGGACCAGATCGAGTCCCTTCATGGCGTGGCTGCGTTATCGATGTAATAATGCATTTTTAGTCATTTTTACCCCTGCGTTTTATCGATTTAAATTGAATTTTTTTTCGTTATTTTAATGAACCTTCGAAAAAAGATAAAGCATCGTTATGCATATTAAAGGCTCTTGATGAGTCCCGTGTGTCATCAAACTGTTCCGCATCGTAATTTTGCAGTTTAATTATTTTACGTGTTAGCGCGTACGGTTTTAATTAAAACTACTGTTTTTCGAAACATAAAAAAAAAAAGGTACGGTGTCACACGCCTGCATCGTGCTTTATTTGTTTTAAAATTTTTGCTTCAAATTGCTTTAATTCTAATTTAAAGTGAATGTGCATAGGGTAAAACAAAAGCTCCCTCCATTATATAAAACTAATTAAGTTTGGTACAAGGTTCTTGAACGAAAATTCGTGCTTTCAAAGGATTTGTGGCGTAAAAAAAAACAAAAAAAAAAAAAAAAAAACAAAGACAAACGTTTGAGTATGAAGGCACGAAGGTACGAGTCGAAAACTAAACTAAACAAAGTTCATAAAGGCAGGAAGACTGCAGGAGCAGCGAGAGAAAGGTCGTGACGAAAAGATGCACAAAGAGGGAGGGAGATAGAGCACGTGGCTAATATATTATACGCCCAGATGTACGTGTGTATACATGTATACACCTATAGAGAAGCACGGGGTACGTTCACCGTATAGCTCCTATGCCACGGTCTATACGTGACCTGCGCCTCAATGGTACAAGTCAGCGTTTGATCAGCCGAGCATATGCATCCACTGTACACTCCGTGCGCGCGTACACGAACCACCTGAATGTGACATGTTTACCATCGCTGCTTTGAATGCACTACTTTTCTATCGTGCCACTGGCCAGGCAAGAGACACACACACACAGGGAAGGGGACGGCTTTGTTATATGCAGTAGATACGCCGAAGGGGGCGCTTCTGCTTTTCATTATGTGCCCCTCGGCCGCGTCTTTCGGTCTCCATCCGGACACGCGGCTGACCCCTTCCTCGGAATTTCTCCCCTTTTGTCGCGACCCCAACAATAGTTCGAGCGGAAGCTGCGTCGGGCAGTAAAAAAATTAAATTTTTTAATTACACTTCACCCAGCCACCACCGCCGCGTCCCGCCCTACCGGCACTTTGGCGTAATTAAAGCGGCCGATGATGAAAATTACCCATTGGCTCTCTCTCTCTTCCCTCCTATTTTTCGCGCCGTGGTCATTAAAATCACGACATATCGGACCTGCATTATTTGTCCGCGCATTGTGAAGCTGATGTTCCCCGCGACTCTATTCAATCCACCGTAAATGAAAATAAAAGAAAAAGACTTTCGAAAACTTCCTTCGTTAAGTTTTTCAATTTGCAAAGTAATCTGCATAATGACGTGTCCTCGGTCGCGTATTATACTCCGCGGGTGATTTGTATTGTACGTAGACCCACGGACCGCCGGTTATAAATAAGCCCGATCGATTCTCCGTAATTAGCCACAGAGGGACCCGGAATGAAAATAACGTGGCCAAAGCCAACCGAGTTGGACTCGAAAAAAAAAAAGATACCACCAGCTCCTTGGCATTTTCTAATTACCCGGACGGTCCCTTATCGGCTCGGCGACGGGGGTGGGGGGCTATCATCTAAAAATCATCAGGCCACCCGGAGCGGCGTTCTTTTACAGATTTACGCGAGCCCGGCTTTTTACGAGGGACAAGCCGCGGAAATTGCCGTCCCGAGGATTCGCCGACGACAGCTAGGGAAGCTTCCGTCGGGAGGGGGACGAGATACGCGACGCTGATGGTACGGAGGGGGGAGGGCTTTTAAACTAATTGCGTGGATGGTCCTGCGGTGAAGACCCCGTCGGGATCAACTTTCTTTTTTTCCGCGCTAGGGTTTATCGGAGACGAAGGTCCTCTCCTTCTTCTGGTGCTGATGACATCGGAGTCGTGTCCGCCACATACCTGCAGCGTATCGGAATGTTTGCACAGCTAGCTCCTTGGATGATTGAAAATCTCACCAAGGTAAAATCAATATGTAAGTGCATGAAAAAAAAAAAAAAAAAGAAAGAAAGAAAACTTGGAGCCAAATGGAATTTTAAAAGCACCTCATCCTGCGACACCTACATGTAAATACTAGAGACGGGAGTGTCCTCAGGGCGGTGGCAACTTTTTTTTCAAAAGCAAAGTCCGTAAAGTCAGCTCACGTGGCTCCGGCTAAATGGCAAAAGGGTATAGCTCGGCAGACATTTGCATTCGCAAACAAGCACCCGTTCCCGTTCTGGGTGCCATTATCTCAAAGAGTACGGAGGAACGAGAGTTCGGGGTAGAAAAAACCAAAAGTGTAGGAGGAAAGGGGGCCCCGGCAGGTGGCCGACAAAGTGCAAGTGGAGGAAGCACCGTTGCGTGGCCAAGTGCCCCGACCCTATGGGTATACATCCACGTGCATGCAAATTATATATANACACGTGTGTGTCAATTACTCGCTAGTTAGTTTGTACACAAAGAAAAATCGTATACACGGTGCGCGAATATATACATATATAATCCACAAGTATGTCTGTCTCTACGTTTGCACCCTCCCCCCCTCTCTCTCTCTATATATACATGTGTGTGTTTACACGTGCAAGTTAGATATGTGTGTGTGTGTGTGTATCAGTGGCTTACCGTTTGTGTTGGATCCGAAGACCTCTTCGCGGTTGCAAAGGAACTCCGTCCTTAAGCCAGTGCACTCTCGGAGGTGGCGAGCCCCTCGTTCGACACACGAGCTTAACTCTGTCCCGGTACCTCGCCACTGAGTCTCTCAGCTCGGATAACGTGACTTCTCGCACTGAAACATCAAAGCAAACACACCGAATGCTCCTTTACTTTGCTTTACTTTGCCTCGCTCTCTCTACTTTCTACCACGCCTATTTGCGTCTCCTTGCCATTTGCTCCATGCACACATACGAATACACACCGTTGTTGGGCCCTTTGCTTTTTTTGCCGCGGCATGTAGCTGCCAGCTGGCAGACAATTAACTACGCCCGGTATTATTGCTCGGCTCCTCCGATATGCATCGATCAACTTTGTTCCCCTGACCCAGCTGCTATTTTTTTTTTAACGAGGCCCGTGTAGTTGAAAAAAAGGGGTGGAGAGGGGAACAGGGGAAAAAAAGAAAAAGTAGCTGCCTACCACTCGAACGGGCAGGTGCGCCTCTCGCTTTTGCAATGGCGTGATAAGGGATGCTTTACGTCGAGGAGACTGACAACGATATTACTCCCGAGGACGTACAGAGGGTGCGGGGCAGTAATACACCTACACGTCCTCCCCCTCCCTGCACCGCGGACGTTGCACCGAGCAAGCGTTTTGGGACAGCTTTAATTTCAAGCCACGATTCCGGAGCTTCGCTTTTGCCCCTCTTCCTTTTTCCCGTTGTTTAAGGGCTTTTCTGACCCCACCCCACCCCTTGGGTACGTATCGTGCAGTGCGCTGCACCCTCTCCCCCCCTTTCTTTCGAGTCGATAAAATTGATCGCTCGGTAGGCAGATGGGATGTATTTTTCGAGCTTGCAAGCTCCACGGCGCGCGAAAATAACAACCGGGTAGAATGTACAACGGGAACGGTGGTGCAAGATAATTGAACGAATTATTAGTTAACGCTGATTTCATGAATTTTGCTTCGCGTGTTTTACTCCTACCGGGAATTTGGTTTTCACTATGTTTCGTGCTCGCGTTTCGGTGGTTATTTATCGGCTTTTCCGAAATATCCAGCTCAATTGGATGGAAATTCCTTGAGCTGCGCTTTGATCAACTCAATCACGTAAGTACAGAGTTTATTACCATTCGTACATCCACCACTATATATTTGGATATAAATTTGGACTTATTGATCGTTATACGCGTCGATGAGCTCGATGCTCCGATGATTAAAAAAAAAAAAAAAAAAAAAGTTGTAAGCCATGTTTTTCATCACCAAAGCCGATGATCCGCCTAGACTTCATTTTCTGAAAAAATTGGAGCTTATAGGCTCCAATTTTTCCTCAAAATACGTTGTTTGCGAATTACAGCTTTAAAAGCCCACTCTGCGAAATTCGCGTTACACCATGCTTCCTTCGACCTACATCCGATGAAATCGTTGGGAAAACCTGGTGTAAAAAAGCAGTGTGCAAGAACCAAAACGCAATTTAAACTTTTTCAAATCGCAGTAGCGACGAAGGCGCGAAAGAAACTGCGTCGATTCGATCGAAGAAAGTTTGATCGTTACCCTCGCAAGCGCTCAGTTGCATTGTTTTCCTCGGAACGCGTGAAAAAGAAAAATCGACACCATGAAAAAAAAAAAAAAAAAAAAAACAACGTCGACAAACAAGATGGAAATCCATGTCTTTCGGCGCTCCGGAGAATACCACCGATACGGAGCAGCCCTTATCTTGCCTCCGCTTGATTATCATCGAGAAATTCTTCCCGAGGCTACCCTCCCGCGGCCTCGCTTCTCCAAGTAGATTGAAGAAAAACATCCCCGCTACGCGAGAGACCATCCTATCTCCGGCCGTGATTTCCCCGGGAATACACGCAGCTGTCTTTGCTCTCCGCGTTAAAATCAAGATTGGGTGGGCGAGCGAAATGACTAGCGCGCAGAGGGATGAAATTAAGCTAACATTGGTATAATGAGATTTCACGTAAACGCTGAGATTACTCAGGTAGGACGACGGAGGATTTTACGAAATGTAAATCTAATTGCGCGCCGCGCTATACTTATGTCACCAGCTCTTCGCTCGCGATTCATTTGGTGTTTTGACAGAACCGTTTATACTCAAAAGATTTTCATAGCGATGTTAAAAATACACGCGTACACCGGCATACGTGCGAAACACGCGACATCGAGTTTCGAAAGCTTGTGTACTCGCGCGTCAAGTTAAGCCAAGTAAAATTTGACAGATTTAACGCGCGCACGCAAAGTTTGAGCCGAGCCGGGACACATAAAGTTCGCCCAGACTTTACTTAAGTGGATTTTCCCCCTTCCTTATGCGAATCTTACCTGAATTAGATTTAACTTCTTGTTATTTTTCGACCCGTACAACCTACCACTTATATTGATTACCCAATCTACGCGAGTCACATATACATGTCGTCCTCATGGGAGGCAGTTAAGGAACGAAAAAAAAAAAAAAAACTCCGTGACCGCCGTTACAATATTCATGGGCACAATTGCAATAAAAGCCATAATTCAGCGGATCAGCCTTGGCTCGGACACGGACTCATTTAAAAGTCAACGACAACGAGGAGACCCCCGACTGCGAAATAAAATATTTTTCGCGAAAAGCCGCGTCCGAAAAGGCCCGATTCCAATATCCGCACCCCGACACACACACCAACACACATTCGGCTCTCAAGAGCTCGGTGAAAAGCGTCGATGAAAAATTAAACGCCCGAGCACTCGGCGAGCGAAAAAACTGCCAAATCACCCATCGCGACTCGAGCGCCCCAGTTCGGCTCCACGTCCATATCCCTCCCCCTCCGGGCAAAATCACTCCTGCGGTCAAGTGAGCGCGCAAAAAGCCGGATTCCCGAGATGAAATAAAAAAACGCGCCCGCCAGAGATGGATGGGCTTCTCTCGCACACACGCGTACAAAGCCCTCCGGGGAGGCGGAGTTTTCGCCTTATCGGGCACGAAAAAAAAAAAAAAAAAGAAAAAGAAAAAAACGAGAGAGAGCTCACGCCGCGGCACATGGAAGCGGAGGGCTGTGGTTTCGCGCGACATCCCCGAGGACGCGGCACCTCGCGGAGCGCTGTATCTAACGATTAGCGACAGCTTTCTCCCTTTCCTCTTTCGCGCCGAATTCCGATGCAAATTTCGCCCACGGGAGTCACCAGTGCTGGTCCAGGGCGCACCGAAAAAACGTCCCACTCTTTTTTTTTTTTTTTTTTTTCGGCTGCACAGGGTTAAGGGATCCGAAAAAGGCAGGAGTGCAGTGGTAACGATTATTACTTACGTAAACCTGAGACTTGTATTAGCCGTCGTATGCATCGCTGTTTTCCGGTTCGTCCCGTTTTTTTTTTTTTTTTTTTTTTTTTTNCTTCGGAAAAAAATACGTTTCAAACTCCACTCTATTTTCTATGCTATCGTAAGTTGCTGGATGAGAATGAAAAAAAAAATATATAGTATATATACATCGTCACACCCAACTGTGCGATCAAAGGTGAGGCGATTGACGCCCTGCGTACGGGACGCAAGATACACCAATCGGGAAAAAAGACGGCACTCGCAAATGTCCCCCAAAAGCAATCAAACCGAAATAAAAAAAAGCACACGTGCATGATAGAAAGGGGGAAAAAAGAGAAAACAAGTTGCACACGCGACCACGTATGGAGAGCGACAACCGGTAGCGGGAAAAACATGCGCGCACACACGTATACGTGCGTTTGTTAGTTTTCGCGCGTCGCGTCGACTTTATTAAACAACGTGTACACGGTCTCGATAACGCCGGCCCGGCAACACGTATCGCATGGGTTTACCCAGAGAGAAACGAGTATATCTCGCTTCGGTCAGACCGTCGTGTTGCAATTTGTTTCGGAGCACAGGGAAAAAGGGATAAGCTTTCTTGGCACGCAGAGAAGCAGGGCTTTCCGCTCCTTTCGTCGCGAGCCAACCTCGTTTCGACGGAATTTGCAGATTTAGATGCTTACCCACGGGTACTATTTTTTTTTTTTTTCCACGTGCCGTTGATTATTTACCCGAGCCCAGTTTGCCGAGCACTCGATACGCGGGCTCAAAGTTTTTCGATCCGTCCGAATTCGTTATTTACCGCTGTAGAGCAAAAAAAAAAAAAAACTCCCCGCTTTGTAAACACATGCACAGGTATATCCAATTTACACGTCACGAGTGGGTAGACGCGACAGTTTGTCAGTTACACCGTCAAATGGCGTCTCTCTTGAAGTGTAAAACTTTGGCCGACGTTGTACCGACGTTGTAATTATTATGCACGCTCAGCTCGAATGATCATCGTAAGCCAGGAGAGGAAACTTCCTTGTACAGAAAGCTCGACGAGATGTCCCGAATACACGTACCTCGGGGCGCCGTGTTAATTAATAAATCGTATACAAAGTGTAAACTATGCGTCGCGCAAAACACGACAAAGCTTCTTGCCTCTTCCCCAGCAGCGGAGCACTCCGGAACGGGGGGAGCTTGCAAGAACACAGCTTACATCGTCATTTTCCCGATATAATATATACATACACGCGGAGCTCAATAGCTTTTGGCAGGAATGCGTGCTCGGGGGATGAGGAGAAAAATACGGTATGTGGCGGAAATCAAAGCGAAGCGAGTGCACGGGGACGCCGGAATGTTTGGGTAGCCGGAGCGCGAGTCCCGTAAATAGAATCCCATTAGGGGCCCGCTCTCTCTCTCTCTCTCTGCTATTTCTTTCCTCCTTCGTGTCTCCTCTTTGCTCGGCTCGTCTTTTTGGCGACTCCGTCGTCTTCTTCTCCCCTTAGGAGGCATCTTCTTGCAATTATTTCCCGCTCGGTCTCCCCCGCGCGATATCTTTGCCCGATGCTAGGCCGTATCGTATCTCATTAATCGGACGCTTTTTGATCTCCTTGAGCCGCGTCTCGGCCTTCACGCCAGCAAAGGTGTTTGCAGGGTTGAGAGGTGCCTTTTTTTTTTTTTTTTTTTTTTTTAAAGACTCAAATTGCTTCGTAGCAACACCGGAGGGGTGGCTCCGGTTAGAGACGAGCTGCGATCGATAGGCTCTGATTTCCTTGGTTTCCCCTCTTGTTATCGATGCCGTACTTACTCCACTTAAAAACAGCTCAGCGCTTCGCTGCAGGTAGGGAATTAAAAATAATAAC